TAGGACTGGCTCGGCGTTTCGCTTGAGATTTGTTCGCAATATGTGGTTATGAAGTGTGACGTGTCGATCAGTTACACGGGTGGGGGGGCTAGTTGTGTCAGGATGTTGTTGTCGCGTAAGCGCCGCGCACACTCGTTTTTCTCAAAGTTCCAGCCGTACATTACGCGAATATCTGGCGGGTGGTTTCAATAGTTTGCCATCATCGTATCCTGGAGTGACGCTCATAAGAGGTTACATTCTGAGTCGGCGCTGATATTTCCCCGGTCGCAAACTGGACTGCTCTTGCTTTGTTCCGCTTATTCCCGTTTAATCTGATTTACTCCGGGGCTTGATCTGGCCTCATCCGGTTCATTGGCCCCTTACTGGGTGCTAATACCCTTCAATCGTTCTGACGAAGACCTCCCAGGAGTTGCCTCCTAACCTAGCTCCGAGCTAGCAAGTACGGTAGGCGGCTGGTGGGCGGAAGCCCTGGCGTTGCGCGCACATCCACACTTTCTCTGGACAGTGAAACACTCGGATGGAGGGCGGCTCTTTTTCAAATGGGACTCTCGCGCGACATATCCTTACACTTCATGACCTGAAGTTTTCCAAACGTCGTCGTCCTCCTCTTCCTCCTCCTCCGCCTCCTCCTCCCCCTCTCCCTCCTCCTTTTCCGCCTCCTCCTTGCCACTTCATGACCAGAAGTCTCCTATACGCACCAGTTGCGCACGGATGCAGTGTGGCTCTCCATGTTCCAAGCCATCGGGTCCAGCCGTCTTTGCAAAGTTCGGAACACTACAAAGTTGAAGCAGCCCGACAGCGGTACAGATCAAGGGCTGCTCCTTTCCAGAACTGGGCTCCTTCACTGGGTGGCGTTCCCAGTCATGAATCGAGGCAGCTCGACAGCTGTTCGGATCGAGGGCTGCTCCTTTTCAGAACGGGGCTCCTTCACTGGGTGGCGTTCCCAATGTGAAATCGCAGAGGAGTGCTTCTTCAAGCTTTCGGGGAGGGGACGGGGGACCGGACGGGGCATTGGAGCAGCGTGGAGTGATGGGCTTCTTGTGTCTTCTGGTCCTTGAGGACAAAACAGCCCCTGACCCTCATAACGCAATGAAGATGTGGCCCTCACTGAGGCCCCCTTGTCGCACTAGGGCTAGACACGTGGGCGGGTCGTCTCGGTACATCTGCAGAAACGACCCCCTATCCCCAGTGTTCCCGGCACTCCTGAATCAGGTCGCCTCCCAAAGGGTTTGTGGGGCCCTTTTTGTGCCTAATCATCTGGTCCTCCTGTTCCTCCTTCGCCTGGAATGAGGAGGAGGAGGAGGAGCAGGAGGAGGAGGAGGAGGAGGAGGAGGAGGAGGAGGAGGAGGAGGAGGAGGAGGAGGAGGAGGGAGGGAGGGAGGGAGGGAGGGGAGGAGGGGGGGGGAGGAGGAGGAGGAGGAGGAGGAGGAGGAGGAGGAGGAGGAGGAGGAGGAGGAGGAGGAGGAGGAGGAGGAGCAGGAGGAGGACGAGGAGGAGGAGGAGGAGGAGGGAGGCAGGGAGGGAGGGAGGAACCGAAGCCGGCGGACCCCCGGGAGTCCATCGGGGACGCGTGCCCGGCCAGAGTGCCGTTCGTGGCGGGCCCAGCCGTGGCGACGAGAGGCCGAGGGGGGAAGGCCGGAGGTCCAGACAGCTGACGCCGCGGCTCTGTTCGCAGCGTGGCTCCCCCAGAGTCGGGCATGGCCAGGACCCCAGGTGAGGGGACCCGATGGTTCATGTTTACCGCAACTGCTGCAACTCAATATAACACCATTGCTCCATGCATTATATGCATTTACAATCGCCACGCAATGAATCAAACATTCCTATCCCGGTTAGTGGTAGGGTCCCGGAGCCTTTGACTTAGGCAGAATCATTAAACCAGGTTTGCCATAGCTGCTTTTTTTCTCCTGGTGACGGCAGTTCTGGTGGGTGGAAATGGGACGGGGGGGCGCCCCGGTACAGATCACTAGACCAGGTTCCACTAAACCCAGTTCGGCCAACGCCCGACAGAGGTCTGGGCCCCTTCCCCCGCTCGGTAGCCAGTCATGGGAGCCTGGTGTGCCCTCTGCATTCCGTCTCTATAGCGTCGATTCGCGCCGATTCGCGTCTGGGGGTCGAGGAGACAGCGCCGATGTAGCGTCGGTTGGCATCCCTTAGCGTCGATCAACGTCGACCTAGCTTCGACTCGCGTCGATTCGCAAACGCCGACAAGATGGTATGGGATGCTCCCATGAGTTGCCAGCGACCCCTTTCCGGGTAGTTGCTTGACGTTCCCCGTGGGTCGGCGAGGGCACCCCCGCCATAGTGCCGAACAAACAAAGTGACCCAAGCACAGCTGGTCGTGTTTCTTCCACGATGCGAGGAGAAGTCAGGGGCTCTCCCCATGGCTCGATCCTCGATCCTCGGTCCTTCTCTTCCCGAGGCTCTCCGACCTGTGCGCGCAGCCCATCCTCCCGGACTGCGTCGCGGAGCGCACGGAGCGTCTGCTCGCGGAGCTGAGGACGCCCGGGGCAGCCCGAACCGCAGCTGCGGAGAGGAGGGGAGTCGCCGAGACTCCTGCCAAGAACGGCACGCACAATGCACGCCTCGTAGCCATAGGGAGCCCACCGCCCCAGTTCGGCACACCCCTCACAGGTTTCGTAGGGAGCTCAACCTAACCCCGTAGGGTCCGTGCGGAATCTGTGCCCCCCCTTGCCCCATTGATCGTCTTTCCCCATTTCCCTACCCCTTGCCTGGAGGTCGGAGCCAGCTGTCGGAAGCTGGAACATGTACATTGCCAGTGGCGGGCCGTTTCTCAATCCCAGGACTTCTTCGAGCGCCGGAGACGACGTCGGGGTGGTGTGTCGTATACCTGTCCCTCGCTTTCCGCGGGGAACACAGAAACATGTATGCACCAGTATCCCGTATGCACCAGGATCCGCGTGCTTGTGCGAATTTCAGCGCAGGGTCGGGAAAGTGCGTCGGTGCATAGAGCTCGTTTCCCGAAGCTGGGGGGCCGAGGTGCCCCGGCGCTGGGTACGGCCGGCAGGGAGGGTCGGGGGCGGAAAAGAGGGGGGTGATGACTAAGGGGGGGTGGATATCATGGCGTGGGCCATGATATTTCCCTAGATTTCATGGCCCCTCTTCTTATTTCATTACGTCTCTGGCCCCCCCGCTGGGCCGCGCACATGCCGCCAGTCATGATTTGCACCCCCCCCTCTTGGACACCCCCCTCTTTGCCGCTCCCGAGAGGGGGGAGCACGCGGCCCCCGCGCTGCCACGCCCTGACGCGGCATCACCCCACCAGGCTGATGCTATTGTGTGCGTCGTCCCCCCCCCCGGGTGGAGACGGGCGCACCGAGAGATCTCGTAGAGCGGGACAGTATATATCACAGTGAGGGGCTGATCCGAACGGTCATTCACTGTCCCTGGGTGCGTGGCTGAAGCGGAGTTCCGCGATGCGGATCCTTGTTGTTGTTGTCGTTGTTGTTCGTGTTGTTGTTGTTGTTGTTGTTGTTGTTGTTGTTGTTGTTGTTGTTGTTGTTGTTGTTGTTGTTGAATATTATTACTTCTAAAGAATAATTATTGTTGGGCCCCCTGGTGCACGCCCCCCTCGCCGCGCCTAGGCCGCAGCCACATTTTCATCATTTTCGTGAGGAAGCCTCAGGTAAAACGATGTGATCCAGATCCGGTTGTTTTGTTGTAATCCGCTTTCCCTTGCAAAAAAAAACTATAAAATGAAATTTCTTGTTCTAACATATCCAAAATTCAAGAATCCCTTGCAAAACATAAGGTAAAGTGGACATTCGCGCGCGCAAGACGAAATCCTTCAAAACCTTAGTTTTCGTAGCGATTTTAACATAAAAACATAAAAAAACCAATGGTTTTTCAAAAAAAAAATTGTCGAAATTTCATCCCGCGCGCTCTTGCGGATTCGTAGGAAACCCAACACTTTTTAAACATTTCTGTCAAACGGGCTTTTGCGAGCAACTTTTTCGAACTTCTGCAACAACGGTTGCGCACCTGCCAGGGCCATCATCCCTGTCAAATAATACCATGCGGGACACATTCGTTTTTTCTTCGCGCGCGCACGCCGTCGTCGTCGGCCGCGGGGCCCTGAATAGTAGCCACGGTCGTCCGCATGCCACGAAGTGAAGTGTCCGAACGTCATAGGGCGGGAAGCTGGGTGTGGGTGGTGGCGAAGAGTCGTTTGGAAATTTGGTAGAGCTTGAACCGGCCCCCCCACAAAGTGGGGGTATTGCCCGCCTCCTATGAAAACCCTGGCACTGGTGAGAACGGAGTGTCCCCACGTGCTAGTAATTGTTGTTGTTGTTGTTGTTGTTGTTGTTGTTGTGGTTGTTGTTGTTGTTGTGGTTGATGTTGGTGTTGCTGTTCTTGTTGTTGTTGTTGTTGCTGTTTATTGTTTGTTGTTATCGTCGTCCCACCCGCGACCCGCCCCGCGACCCACCCGCGACCCACGCCGCGATCCACCCGCGGACTCAACCGCGACCCACCTCGCGACCCACCCCGAGACCCACCCCGCGACGCGACCCACCCGCGACCCACCCGCGACCCACCCCGCGACCCGCCCCGACCCACCCCGAGACCCCCCGGCGACCCACCCATTGGCGACCCACCCGACCCCGCGACCGCGACCCACCCGCGACCCACCCCGCGACCCACCCGCGACCCACCCGCGACCCACCCGCGACCCACCCCGCGACCCGCCCGCGACCCACCCCGAGACCCACCCGAAATTTTCGGCGCACGCGGCGGGTTTCTTTTGCATGCGTTCCAGGTGGAGAACCTGTCCCCCGCCCGCGACCCAAACCGCGCCCGCGCCCACCCGCGACTCACCGCGATCCACCCGACCCACCCGCGACCCACCCCGCGACCTACCCAAAATTTTCGGCGCATGCGGCGGGCTTCTTTTGCATCCCTTCCAGGTGGAGAACCTGCGACCCACCCGCGACCCAAACCGCTTTCAGTGTATAGATCGAAATTTTCGGCGCCTGCGGCGGCCCGTTTTTGAATTCCTGCCAGGTGGAGGTGGAGAGCCCGCGACCCACCCGCGACCCAAACTATGTTCACTGAACAAGCCAAAACTTATGCGCCTGCGGCGGGCTGCTTTTGCATTCGTTCCCGGTGGAGAACCTGCGACCCAAACCGCGTTCAGTGTACAAATCAAAGTTTTCGGCGCCTGCGGCGGGCTGTTTTTGAATTCCTTCCAGGTGGAGGTGGAGGGCCCGCGACCCACCCGCGACCCAAATCACGTTCATTGAACAAGCCCAAACTTCTGCGCCTGCGGCGGGCTGTTTTTGCATTCGTTCCGGGCGGCCCACCAGCGATCCCCCCCGCGCTGATTTTGTCAGAGCACGCAAATCGGCGCCTGCGGCGGGCTTGCTCGCATTGGTTTGGGCAACCGCCCTCGTGCCATTCCCCCGATCCGGCCCTCGCAGACTGACGACGTCTTCGCCGCCCCCTCACTCTTGTCCGCAACTGCGGGGTGCCACGATACTGCAAGATGGGTCTACTGAATGTTCGGATCGGACGCGCGCCTCCAAGGAGGACGCACAGTGCCGGTATGTCTCTGTGCGTCCCATGGACGCGCCTCGAAGGACCGGTCCGCTTCGACCCACGGAAGGGGTCCCGTGTTGGGTTTCTTGCGCGCAGTGGCCCTTGTCCGCCCCCTCCCGGCCGATGCTCTCGGGGCCCGTCCAGCGCAGGCCCCCCTGGCCGCTTCCAGGCCCGGAGGCTTCGAATCGCCCTGCACAGGTGTAACCTCAGGAGGGAAAGAAACACACAGACACAATTAGTCCTCGATTCCCTAGAAAATATAGGAAAATATGGGACGTGGGGGGGAAGACAAAAGCCCAGAACATATTTGAAAATATGGGGAATATTTGTATTTGTGTGTATTTATTTGTGTGTCCTGGGGCCCCTTCATAACCGCCCAATCTCAATGCCAAAGCACACCTGGACACCTTTTGCCGTCGGCGGCGAGGCAGAGGCAGTCCTTCGGATGCAACCCCGGGTAGGTCAAATTCTGCTTCTGCCCTGGTCCGGAATCCGGCTTCATCCCGCTTTATCCGGCTGAATCCCGCTTAACCCCGCTGAATCCCGCTTAATCCGAGGCCTACTCCAGCGTGACAGCCCCCCACTGGGCTGTAATCCTCCTTAATCCTTCCGACGAAGACCTCCCAGTAGTTGCCTCCTAACTAAGGCTCTCCTGGACACTTGTTTCGTCGGCGGCGAGGCAGAGGCAACCCGCACCAGCGTGTGGCCAATCGGGGCAACCGATATTGTAGGCAAATAGTCGGGCGCGCGAGAGGGAAAGACTAAGACGAGTGGGGCCGCGCGAAGGGAGGAGGGGGAGGGCGCTCAGACGTGGAAGACTTCCGCGGGTGAGCGGGCCCGAGCGGCCAGCCAGGGCAGCGGGGACCACTCTCCTGCACACACTCATTCTCCCAACTGGGCTTGTGCCTCGTAGGCGTTCCGCGGCGTCCCTCGCCGACACAGTTTGGTTGGACGCGGGCACTGTTTCCTCCCGACTCAGCGGTTGAGAGGATCCCTTTGCGGCTCTACGGACGGCCCCGTATGACGAGCAGCGTGTGGAAGCACTCGTCGAGGGACCCCTGTTTCGAGTGATGGATGTGCCCCCATGGGCGGGGGTCCGTTTTGGGACGCTACCACAGAGAGTCACAGCTGGAACTCCTTGTGGGGGGCACGAAGCGTGCGAGGGCTGCGCCGGTGCTGGCGGGGTGCGGCCCCGCGGGCGCGCCCGGTGGGGCCGCAGGTGGAGCTCCCTCTTTGTGGCACGAGCTGCGCGAGGCTTCTATTGCGAGAGGCGCGGGGTGTGGAGCGTGCGGGCGCGCCCACCTGGGGCCGTGGGGGTGGAGCTCCCTACGGTGGGCACGAGGCGTGCAGGGTTTGTGGCGACTTGGATGCGTGGGGGGCAGCGGAGTTCGAAGCGTGGGGAAGCGTGGATGCGTGGGGGGCACGAAGCGTAACCTCGCCGCGGTGGCAGAGCAGATTTGCTTCTGATTTTTTTGGTTTTTCGGTTTTCACATTGCAAATGTGGCGCGCGCCTGGTGTCCAGAAGGTGCGCTGGGGGCGACCAAAACAACGCCCGGAAGAGCGCCTGGGAGCGCGCTGAGGCGAGCGCCCGGGCGAGCCAAGAAGAGTGCCGAGAACAGCGCCCAGGAAAGCGCCATCAAGAGTGCCCAGAATATGGCCCAGACGCGAATCTGGAAGAGCGCCCGAAAGAGCGCCCGGAAGTGCGCCCAGCAGCGACCGATTTTGCGACCGATTTCGCTTCCGATTTCGCGTCCGATTTTTTTGTGTGTCGATTCAATACTAAAACAAATCAGACGCAAATCGGATTTAAAATCGGATAAAAACCGGAAGCAAAGCGGATGCAAAATCGGACGCAAATCGGACGCAAAATCGGACGCAAAATCGGGGGTACAATCGGACGCTGATGGCGTCGACCATTTCTGGGCGGATGAGGCAGCGTATCGC